TTTTTACTGATCTGTTAATTATAAGTAACTTTTTGTCTAGTGTAAACATGAATGTACTTTACATTGGAAAGAACGTTTATACGCGTTGCCAAATGTTTATTTGATCAGTAGTCAGATGTTATCGTTATTTCTTTCTACTTGATTAAACATTTGAATGGAATGTGTGTTGGAAAACATCCGTTATTTTAATTGTGGTATACATTTTTATTTTAAATAAATTTTGATTAAAATGGTTGTGAAATTATCTTGCATAGTAAAATTATTCGATGGCTGTGAAAATGGGCCCATATCCGCCACAATAGTGGATAAATTGCAGGAGTGGGGATTGATCCCGAAAGAGGGACAGTACAAATGTGAAAAGGGTCATCCATTAAAATTGATCCCTTTCGATAACTGTGATGGCTGGGCGTGGAGGTAAGTAATTAACAACATAGTAGACTAATTTAATAATATTTATAATTTAGATGCTGTAAAAAGGTCCGAGGCCGTAAAAATAAAAAATGTAATTTCAAGTGTTCATTGAGGAAAGGTACTTTTTTTGACAAGTCCCACTTGCCAATCTACAAAATTATTGTCTTTGTATTTATGTGGACGAAAAGAACTGGGACACTTGACGATATCATGGAAGAGATATCCATTAGTAACCATACTGCAGTGGATTGGAATAGTTATTGCAGGGAAGTTATCATCTTTAGTCAATTCCAAACCCAAATTCAGATTGGTGGACCAGGTGTGGAAATAGAAATAGATGAGTCTAAAATAGGCAAAAGAAAGTACCACCGAGGTCATGCAGTTGAGGGGCAGTGGGTTTTTGGAGGCATTGAGCGATCAAGCAATAAGTGCTTTATAGTGCCGGTGGAAGATCGTTCTAAAGAAACCTTACTGCCCCTTATTAAAAAATATATCAAGCCAGGCTCAGTAATAATTTCGGATTGCTGGAAGGTAAATTTTATATTATCTATATATTTTTATATACATTAATATTATTTTGTTTATTTTCAGGCGTATGATACATTGGATGAGGAGGGTTATAAACATTATAGAGTTAACCATTCCGAAAACTTTGTAGATCCACAGTCCAATCAACACACAAATACTATCGAAGGGCTCTGGCGCCATCTAAAAAGATCTCTTCCTGCATATAATCGCCGTAAAGCTTTTTTTAACGGTTATGTGCAGAAGTTTATCTTTTTACGGTGGTGCCGAGCTAATGAGAAGAATCCATTTCTGGAGTTTCTCAAGTTCGCGGGTCAGCTGTATGATCCATCCAATCCTGCAGCTGACTCCGAACTTGAGAGAATTCGAGGCGATTCTGCAGATCCTGTTGCGTTGGAAGTCATAGGATTATCAAGTTCAGAACGTGACGAGGAGGATGATTAAGCGTAGTATTTTTTAAAACTTGTTTTTATTTGTTAATTGTATTTAATATATTTTTAATTGTTTTTATTTGTTAATTGTATTTAATATCTTTTTAATTTTGTTATTTATTAATTCTTTTTTTAAATATTTGTTACTATTTTAATTTGTCTACTTCTTAATTTATTTCTTAGTTTTTTAATTTTTTCCGCTTTTAATTTGTTATTTTGTTATAAAATTACATTTTTTAAATTGTTTTCGATTATTTTAATGGCTTTTTAGTGTATAGAAGTGAAAATATCAGTCTACATGTTATACATTCACAGTGTTTTAGGATAATAAGTAAGGGTATAAAATGTAGGTTTTTATTACATTTTGATACCCCATATTTCCGGAGGTACGAAGTTCCGCCCAAAAAAAAAAATTATGTTGTTGTAATCAGCTCCAAAAGGACTATGTGCTGTAAAAAAATTAAACGTTTCGGAGTGGTATTCTTAAATGTATTTAATAAAAAGTGGGGGTATTTTTTGAACTTTGGAACCCCATATCTCGGGAAGTACTGATTTCCCCCCGAAAAAATTTATGTTGCTGTAATCAGCATCAGAAGGGCTACCTATGGTAAAAATTTCAAAATGATCTGAGAGGTGTCCGTAAAGTGCATTTGTTCCGGAAATCAGTATGGGATTCGACAGTTTCTCCCATGAACAGATGGTAACTACGACTAGCGATCGGATCTTCGTAGGTTCATATTTCCGGAAATACCAATTTCCCATTCTCGGGGTCAAAAAAATGTTTGATTTAATTCGAATCTACACTAATTCAAGAATGTCCCTACAAAATTTCAAGTGAAAATCTCAAGAACTCTTGAAGTCAAGAATCCTAGTTCATACGAGAGCCAGACATGTACTCTTTCTAACACCATTGGAACGGTGTTAGCCTTAAACGGCTGAAATGAAGCTCTCGCTAAATATAATAGTTAAGGGAGAGCAAATTCCGACCAACTCCCCAAGATGTTGAGTGTGTAACGTTCGTCCGCTCATTTCAGTGATATTATCAATAAGCTGAGAAATAGGAGCAATGACCTTAATTCGTTGACCGGCAGCACAAGTTGACCTCCTATAAATGAAAAGTTTGGTGTATAACTATGCGGCGCCAGTGTGGTTTGCGAATGTATGTGATACGCAGTGGAAAAAAGTCAGACCTGTCAGAATGCCGCCCCTGAGAACTACAACAGGGTGTCTCCTCATGGCACCAGTGGACCATATTCATAAGATCATAACCGTCCATTGGCACAGTCAAATATGGCACAGTATTGCAGTACCTGATTGAGTGTTATAATCGAGAGTACACCTGTCATATCCTTATGGAGTTATTGGCGGATTTCACTTCGTGATCTAGAGAAAGAGGCACAAAGTTACAAAGGTGTACCACTAGATTTACAGGCTTTTAAGACAGGTCTGAATATCTTCCATAAATGTGAAATCGCAACAGCAGAAGAGCGTCAGCTACCACGATAAACCAGAATGGTTTTGACACAACAGAGATCTGGTGGTGTAGCCGCCTAAATTCGTATTGGCCGCGAATTGATGACACGGTGACCATATATATGCTCGGCATATGGTTATGGTCTTCACATGACACGTACATTTTTTCAGTTGCCCAGCCAAACCCACTCACCTAACCCCAACTTCAGCCGGTACAGGTTGCATCCTTTTTGAATTTGAAGTTAGAAGCAAAACCAGATGAGCAGGAAAATTCAACAATAACATCTGGAAATTTGCTATGAATGCAAGCTATACAGATTGCAATGTTCCTGAATTTGGACACATAGTAGTCAGAACCGGACAATACAAAATAAATTATCGTTCTTACATTTGAGTTGCTATGCAGAAAATAAAATAAGATATGGCCATGTTTTAGCATGGCTTTTGTCCCGCAAAAAACGTATTTTAGCACCGAAGTGGTTGTCAGTTTCCATTTCGGATTTTTCAAGGAAGAAAAACATTTTAATGTAGGTCCTTGCATTGGCACAGTCTTTTTGGGAATATTATTCGAATTTTCCCACCGTAGTTATTGGAATTTGACACACGGATTCCTGGTAATTAAAAAACAACTTCTTCCCAGATAATGTTTTATATTTTTAAAAATCCACCACACAAAGACCTATCGTAAATTTCGGTATATTGAAGATTCTAGCCAAGTTTTTCAACCTGATAATTTACAATGTCATAGACCCCACATTGATTTTGAATTCACCCCACAAATTACAAGGGAATTGTTCGACCCCGCTGTTTTTATACCCTTCACCATAGTATGGAGGGTATATTAATTTTGTCATACCGTGTGTATTTCATCGAAATATTCATTTCCGACCCTGTAAAGTATATATTCTTGATCAGGGTAAAATTCTAAGACGATCTAGTCATGTCCGTCCGTCTGTTGTAATCACGCTATCTTCTTAAGGAATTGAGATAGGGTGCTGAAATTTTGCATAGGTTTGACTTTTGTCTGCAGGCAGGTCAAGTTCGAAGATGGGATATATCGGTCCACGTTTAGGCATAGCTCCCATATAACAGTACCCCCAATTTTCGGGGTTCATGAGCGCATTTTTCAACCGAATATGCTGAAATTTGGTACATTGCGTTTTTATTGGGTACTGAATATCTCCACAAAATATTATAAATATAGGTCCACTTTTTCTTGTAGCCCCCATATAACAGTACCTCCTAATTTTCAGTTTTTTTTGGGGTCTTGATCGTATTTTTTCACCGAATTGGCTGTAATTTAGTATTTTGAGTTATTAATAGGTAGCAAATATCTCCACAAAAAAATTATAAATATGGGTCTATTTTTTCGGATAGCCCCCATATAAGGGTACCCCCAATTTTCGGTATTTTGGGGTTCTTGAGAGCATTTTTCAACCGAATTCGCTGCAATTTGGTATTTTATTTCAAGTATCTGTCAGTATATCTGTGGTGGATGGTATCCAAAGTTCGACCAGGCCGAACGTAACGCCTTTTCCCTTGTTACTTTTTTCCAAACTAATGTAGAAATTAGCTAAATTTTCCTAGAAAGTTATGACAGACACCTACACCACGCCAATAGTGTAGGTGACTAAATTCCCCCCACCAAATAATGTAATTTATTATTGTTGTTGCCGCTACTTCTAAACGACAGTCATTTTCATTCTTATTAGTCTTCTATTTCTTTTAGAATTTTCTATTTTCTCCCTCTCTTTTCGAATTTTCTTACAAAAAAATTTATCCATCCAACATCATCTTTTACACTCAACAATCGTATAGACTATTCAAATGAAATTGTGATGTTGACGAAGCGCCAAAAACAAATTGTCAGAAAATGCGCAATCATTTATTTATTTTTTCCTCAATTCCCGTTCAGTTCGTTGCGAATATTGATGGTGAACGGAAGGATATTTTTTACCATAATATAAGGCCCTTTAAGGCCTTATTAGCAGCCCCTTTAACAGCAGCTGCATATTATTTCACGAACAACAAAAATATAGTTTAAACAAAGCTTAGACCGCCCAAGACACCGTCCCCAAATTAAGCGATTCATAATAGAAAATAGTAAAGTTTAAATTTTGAATACATCTAAAGGAAGGAAGAAGAAGACCCTCTCTGCATCATGGCTGCAATGGAATTGGAGGCATTATTCTATAGAAAACGTAATATCGTTTATGCCTTTGTACGTCATCGTTTCTTTTTGATGTGCAAACAATCGGTAAGCACTCAGCTGTGTGGATTTTGTTTTTGTCTGGTGGGTGTCTTTTTAGGAGTGTGTGTGAGTGTGCGTGAATGAATGTGTCGTTTTTTGTTTAAAACAAAAGGAAATTCAAATTTCCCATCAGCAGACATTGAGGTGATGCACACCGATTGCATTTTTCGGTGGTGGTAATTCCGTGTTCTCTTTATTTTTTTTGTTTCAATTTTCTTGTACAGTGGAATATTTTGTGGTAAAAAAACGTTGCACTAGACGAAAAATTTTTTAAACACATTTTTTTAAACCAGTGAGCGGAGCAGTATAGTCGGACGGGGCCGACCATACGATACCCTACACAACTTCCACGGAACTCTAACTTTTTTTTGGATTTTTATTCCGAACCTGATCGTGATAGTTGCACCCTCTAGCCCGATTAGAGGTCAATAGCACCTCTTCCTTACACTGACATATATTCCGAGTATTACTAATATTCAGTACAGTCCTTCTAATTACTTGTCCATATTCACTTCAACGTGGGTTGTGTTGTGATGTTCAGATTTCAATTGCGGCCTATAGACCGTCTCGAAAAAAGCACAAAAAAATTTCGGTCCACTTCATCCCAAAATTTTTATCTGATCATCACCGAAAACTATAGTCGTTGTCCTTGGCGATAACTGGAACCTCATGGAACATTTCAAAGCGATCAGCGCAATATTTCCGCCCACTAGTGTGATAATGGGTTACTTAATACTATATTAATACGTAAGCACCTGTAAATATTTAAGTGTAACTCCCATATCCGAGTACATACGACAATATAAATGGTATCAATTTAAAGGTCAACCACTCCTCTTGGATATAATATGAACTCCTCGGGTCCATGTCCTTCAGGAGTAAATATATACGCTATAAAATACAAATTTTGTAATTTTTCACACAAAAGTCAGGGTCCAATTGACCCGTCAAATATTGTCCGATCTTTATCAAAACTGGCATGCTTTGTCATTAGCCCGATTCCCTGCTCCATGTAAAAATTCGCGATGTTTGGGTCATAATTGCAGCCACTGAAGCGACCAGAAAAACCGACAAAAATAAAGTTTTTGGTCCATTTCACCCCTAAAAATTTAACCGATCTTTACAAAAAAAAAAAAAAAAAAAACCAATAGGGGTCTTCATTGGCCAGAACCCATCCTACATGCAAAATTTCGTGAAGATTGGTCCATGACTATCGTGTTTACAAATTATAATGGACAGACGGACGGACGGACACACACATGTCTTTTGGGGCTGCACAAAGCTATAATAACCTGACAACATAGTTGTGTAGGGTATAAAAATACTTTCAGGTATTAATTTGGCGTGGAATTTTTTAAAGCCTGAATTTTTTAAAAAATATTTTTTTTCAAGTAGCCCAAAGCGAAGATATTTAAAAAAATATGTTTTCATATGGGGCCATTTGACAAAAAAATATCTTTCAATTATTTTTTTTTATAGCCAGAAGTCATGGATTTTTAGAAACTATTTATATACCCCTCACCACACTGTGATACAGGGTATTATGTCTTTGTGCATATGCTGGTAACAGCCAAAAGGAAACGAGATAGACGCATGGTTCCTTTTGTGAATATGCATAGAATCACTTTTTAAGTCGATCTGTCTGTCCATGTTAAATTGTAAACAAAGTACAGGTCGCATTTATAATCCGAATTGGATGAAATTTGGCACAGGTCACTTATTCGACCCTAGGACGAACCCTATTGAAATTGGGAAAAGCCGGTTCAGATTTAGATATAGCTCCCATATATATTTTCGTCCGATTTTATGTAAATGGTGCACCAAAGTCCCTATATATCCTTCGATTTGCACGAAATTTGGCATAGTGTACTGAATTAAGTCTAGAACGATGTGTGATAAATTTCGTGAAAATCGGTTCAGATTTAGTTAGAGCTCCCATATATAGTTTCGTCCGATTTCATGTAAATGGTGCACCAAAGTCCCTAAATATTCTTGGATTTGCACGAAATTTGTCATAGCGCACTGAATTGTGTTTAGCATGATTCAGATTTCTATGTGGCTCTCACATATTTATATATATTCGTCCGATCAAATTGAGACTTGAATGACGTTATTGCGTTTTGTTGAAATGGGTGCAGATGCACCCATAGCTTCCATATGTATTTCGAACGGGTGTCTGATTGAAAATAAATTTTTAACAATGCGGCGTACCGAATAGCGTGTATAAATTTTGATATAAAACGTTTTTATAAATTTGAACATTGACTTGCAAATGTAAAGATACATATGCGCAATATACCCAAAGTGGTGAAGGGTATCATATAGTCCGCCCAGTCCGACTTTACTACTTTCCCTACTAGTTTTTTTCAAGTAGCCACCATTTTTAAATTTTTAATGAATATTTCTTCCCGTAACCACCAGCTGTGGATTTTTAGAAATTATTTTTTCAGGTAGCCACCAGTTGTGCATTTAAAAAAACAAAAATTTTTTCAAGTAGTCAAAAGGCGTGAAGTTTATAAAAAATATTTTCTTATATTTTTTTCAGTTAGCTTTAAGGCGAAGATATTATTTTTTCATGTAGAGACTATTTTGAAAAATATTTGCTTCTAAGTGAGCAACAAGGCAGTTGCGGTTTCTTAGGGGGCAAAAATTTATTTGTAGAAATATTTCAATATAAGTCCATTATTTGACCTAGTCCACATATACAGGTCCCACTCCATTTTTGGTGTATTGATGGCCTAGGCACATTTTCCCACAGAAGTGGGTGGAATTTAGCATTTTTCGGGTTCTTAGGGGCATAAAAAACTTCTACACTGAAAATACAGATAACGTATTTCTGTCATTTGTATGAAGTAGAAAAAATGGCATATCATTCGCTCAGTGTAGTCATGAACTTGAATAAAACAATAGTGAAACAAAACAAAAAAGAAATCTAATTAAATGGTCCAAATTTTGGCAACGTTGACGAATTTTTTTTTAATTTGTTTTGTGGGATAAAAATAAATAAAAGATCTCTTCCCACGCTTGTAAACGAAATTTTTATTCGCATGTAAACAAAAATAAAAAAATTGTCATCATTAATCGTGTGTTTTTTCTTTCTCTCTCTTTTACTTTTTATCCCTTTTCCGTTCCTCCTCCTTCTCCCCCTTACATTACAGTTGGTCCGTGTGCAATCTCCGGAAGGCATTAAACGTATTGAAATCTCACCGAAGGCAAATCTAAAGGATCTATTCGAGTCGGTGCAGAAAGTCTTAAAAGTCGATGGATTTGGTCTGTTCAAGGAAAGGAATCTAACCAAGGAGGTGAATATAATAAGGGACATATGAAAATATATGATATTTAATAAATTGTTGAAATCTCCTTGGACAGATCTATTCACATACGTCACAAGAGGTGGGCAGTGTACTGAAACATGGCGATATGATATATTTGAAACAAATGGCTGGTACCTCATCAAGGGTAATTATTTTCACTCTTTCCATGACAATTTAATTGATTTTATTATTTATCTTTTGCAGCGTACCAGTACCACAGCAATTGATAATTTTACCAGTGTTAAGGCCATTGCAAATTCTGCAGCAAATAGTAGTGATTTTAAACCCTCTGCCGCTATACAAGAGGATGAGGTTGATATTCTGCTGGCCAAGGAGGATGGTCTAATAAAACGTGAAAGGGATAGCAAATTGTAAGTTTGGCACAACTTTTTTTTGTGCTTTCTTTATACCATCCACCATAGTATGGAGGGTACACAAATTTTATCATTCCATTTGCAACACCTCGCAATAATCAATTTCGGCACTATATGGCGTACACCATGATCTGTTTAAAATTCCGAACAGAATACCCTTTTCAGCATAATACTATTTTAGAATTTTATTGATTTTTGAATTTCTTTTTACAGATGCCGACATGCCGCCAATGGCTGTTGTGTTCATTGCTCACCGCTCGAGCCGTACAATGAAAATTATCTCAAGGAACAGAAAATCAAACATTTATCCTTCAATTCGTATATACGCAAACAAACATCGGGCATTGATCGTGGCAAATATATGGTCTTCGAAGATATTAATTGTCGCATTAAACCCGGCTGCCGTGAGCATCCACCATGGCCCAAGGGCATTTGTTCGAAATGTCAACCATCGGCCATTACATTAAATCGTCAAATTTATCGTCATGTCGATAATGTGATGTTCGAAAATACCACCATTGTAGAGAGGTTTCTAAATTATTGGCGTACAACTGGACACCAAAGAATGGGTTTCCTTTACGGTACCTATGAAGTTAACACGGATGTACCGTTGGGCATACGCGCCAAGGTGGCGGCAATTTATGAACCACCCCAGGAATCAAGTCGGGATTCAATTAAATTGCTAACCGATGAAAATGCCGATGATGTTGAAGAGGTGGCCAAGGCATTGGGTTTGAAAAAGGTAAAGATTCGATAAATTTTTCAAATAAATTATAATTTTTTTTGCAATTTTTTCTCCTAAGGTTGGTTGGATTTTCACCGATCTCATTACCGATGACCCGGCTGCAGGTACTGTGAAACAAATACGTGGCATACAAACCCATTTCCTTACAGCTCAGGAATGCATAATGGCTGGTGAATTACAAAATCGTCATCCAAATCCATGCAAATACGCTTCGAATGGTGTATTTGGTTCGAAATTTGTTACAGTTTGTGTAACCGGTAAGTAGGGGTCTTGTTTTTTTTAACTCACTTTTATATTTAATTTTTGTTTCCACTTTTCCGTTTCCCTCTTAGGCGACAGCACTAAACAAGTCCACATGGAGGGCTATGCTGTATCGGCTCAATGTATGGCCTTGGTGCGTGATAATTGCCTATTACCCACCAAAGATGCCCCTGAACTAGGCTATGTACGAGAATCGACTGATAAACAATATGTTCCAGATGTTTACTACAAGGTAAGTACAGGGGAGGCATTAAATTTGGAGGTGGTCGATTAATATTTAGGAGGTTTTAAAAACCCAAAAAAGTTGTGTGTATTTAAAAACTAATTTTCAAGGTGAAAATGAGGTGTGGATTTTTAAAATGTTTTTTTTAAGGCCCATTGAAAACGGGGAATTAAAAAAATACATATTTTTCAAGACCCAGCAAACGCAAGGATTATAAAAAAAGGTATTAAAAATAGTTTTTTTCTAAACCTAGCAGGGCGTGGATTTTTAAACATATTTTTAAAGGCCTGCATGGGCGTGATTTTTTTTTTAAATATTTTTACGAGACCCAAGGTCTATCAGTCGTCTGGATTTATTTGAAAAACATTTGTGTGGTATTGCATTTTGGCGTGAATTAAAAAAGAAATGAAGACCCATCAGTGGTCTGGATATTAAAAATATATATCCTTAATGACCTATTAGTGGGATAGTCTTCATTGAAGATGTTACAAGGCCCATCAGCAACGTGAATTTAATAAAACAATTTTGCAGATCTTTAAGTGTTGTAGATTACTTTTTTTTTAAATCCATCAGAAAGCAATTAAAACCTTTTGTATTAAATTTTTATTTTGTAACATTCATTGTTCCATTTATTGTTAGACACCGACATATACATACACAGATTTATATATAACAAAGATATTTATATTTGACTTAATTTTGATAATTCTTCATATTGTTTCTAAAATTCGCCACACTTTTTCGTTTTTTACTTTTGTTGTAGTTTCTCTTATATGTTGTTGCTGTTTTTAAAGAAAACAAACATTTCAGTAAAATTAACATCGATTTCTTAAAATTTAAAAAATAGTTTTGTTTTAGCGGCTCAAAATCGCACCACTTCTATAGTTGTGTTAACGTAATATTTCGTAAACTAATATTTTTATTAATTTTTTTTTATAGACAGATATCGAACTTTTATTTTTTTCTTCATTAATTTTTATTTCTTCTTAGATACAAAGATCAGATAAATTCATAGTTATTTTGAAATATGTTATCATTAGCTAGCATTCAGGAGGAGGATAAAAACATATTTTTAATGATCGAACAGAGACATGGATTAAACAAATTAGATGTGACGGACCCAGCATAGACGTGGATTTTCTTCAAAAGTCCCAGCATAAGCGTGGATTTTTTTTTTTTTAAATATTTCCTGAAGTCCCAGAGTAGGCAAACATTAAAAAAAATGTTGATGACTTAACATAGCGTACATTTTTTAAAAATATTTATGAAGACCCTGCATGGGCGTGGATTTAAAAAAAAATTGTAGACTCAGATTCAGACCTGGATTTTTTATAAATAGTTTTTTAAGACCCAGAAAAGGCGTGAATTTTTTACATCAGTTTTTAAAAACGATTTCTTAACGTTCATTAGTTGCGTAAATTTTTTAAAAAATCTTTCTCAAGGCTCATAAGTGACGATTTGTAAAAAAATATTTTTCAAACCCCATCAGTGCCGCATATTTATACCCTGTACATCGATGTTGTCAGGGTATTATATCTTTGTGCAGCCCCAAAAGTTTGTAACGCCGCGAAATTTTGGTCCTAGACCCACCTTTAAATATACCGATATATACCGTCATATCTCGTCTAGCTGAGTCGATCTAGACATGTGTGTCCGTCCGTCCGTCCATTGTAATTTGTAAACACGATACAGGCCACAGTTATGGACCAATCTTCACGAAATTTTGCATGTAGGATGGGTTCTGACCAATGAAGACCCCTTTATTGTTTTTGGTAAAGATCGGTTAATATTTAGAGGATGAAATGGACCAAAAACTTTATTTTTGTCTAATTTTCCGGTAGATCCAGAGGTCGCAATTATGGCCCGAATATGGGGAATAAGAATGACCGTTTTCATAAATATCCCTCAATATTTAGCGGGTCAAATGGACCATGAATTTTGTGTGAAAAATTACAAAATTTGTATTCTATGACGTATATGTTTGCACCTGAAAGACATATACCCGAGAAGTTTATAGTATATCCAAGAGGAGTGGTTGGCCTTTAAATTGATACCAATTATATGGTCGTATGTACTCAGTTGTGGAGGTTACACTTACATTTTTACAGGTGCTTACGTACTGAGATATTATTTAGTAACCCATTACCACACTAGAAGGCGGATATATAGCGCGGATCGGTTTGAAATTTCCATGAGATTCCAGTTGTGGTCAAGGACAACGCCTATAATTTTCGGTAATGATCAGATAATAATTTTGGGATGAAGTGGACCGGAAATATAATTGTTTGTGTTTTTTCGAGTCGATCTATAGGACACAATTAAAAGCCGAAGATCAGAACACAACTCACGGTGAAGGTAATCTGGACAAGTAATTAGAAGGGCTGTACTGAATATTAATAATATTCGGAATATATGTCAGTGTAAGGAAGAGGTGCTGTTGATCTCAAATCGGGCAAGAGGGTGCAAATATCACGAAATATTGCCCAGGATCGGAATAAACATTAGCAGAAAGTTAGAGCTCCGTGGTGGTTGTGTAGGGTATCGTATGGTCGGCCCCGTCCGACTATACAGCTCCGCTCACTGATTTTAAATAATATTTATTCCCTTCACCACACTGTGGTACAGGGTATTATGTATTTGTGCATATGTTTGTAACAGACAAAAGGAAACGTCATAGACCCCAGGTTCCTTTTCATGAAAAGCGATAGAATCACTTTCTGAGTCGATTTATGCATGTCCGTCCGTTCGTCTGTTGGTGTTAAATTGTAAACAAAGTACAGGTCGCATTTATAATCCGGTTTGCATGAAATTTGGTACAGGTCATTGGTTTGGCCCAAGGACGAACGCTATTAAAATTAGGGAAAATCGGTTCAAATTTAGATATAGCTTCCATATATATTTTCTTCGATTATATGTAAAGTGTGCACTAAAGACCAAATGTTTGTACGATTGACATATAATTTTGTTGAAATCGGTTCAGATTAAGATATAGCTCCCATTTGTATGTTCGTTGGAGTTTAGGTAAATGTTGCACCGGTTGACACGAACGTATCAAATTGAGACTAGAATGACGTTATAGCCTTTTTTAAATTGGTGCAGATACAGACACAGTCTTCATATATATTACAAACGGGTATCTGATTGAGATTCAATTTATGCCAATAAAATCGATTTTCAAAATGTGTCCCATTTTACGCAAAGGACTCTAAACTAGCCCGAATGAAATGAAATTTACCATAGGTTCCAGAAACATCACATATTCAAGATTATTCAATTTCATGTCAATGTTCTTTCGAATAGGCGGAGTCTGTTAGGAGACATATGTAGAATATACCCAAACAGTGAAGGGTATCATATAGTCGGCCCAGTCCGATTTTACTACTTTCCTTACTGGTTTTAAGATCCATTAGTGAAGTATTTTTTTGTGCCGCAGATTTATTTATTAGTGGCGGAAATTAAAAACAAATATTTGTCAAGGGCCAAAATCGCAATACATTGTTTAAAAAAAAAAATTTTTTTTCAGGATTCATGCTTATGTATCGACTTAAAATTTTTTTAAAAGATAATTTTTAAGGTTTTTTTCGGTTTTTAGGTATTCTCTAGCCCTCCTGCCTGCTATTATTTTATTCCTCTTATTTATTTATATTTTTTTTTCAATTTAAATTCTTACTAACTACCAAATTTTTACACACATACATACACATTGTGTGTATGTATTTGTTTTTTATTTATTTAATGACATATATAATTTATTATAGTTAGTATTGGTTGGTGGCTTTTGTTCACTTATATAAATACTCATTGTTTTTATTTAGTTTTCATCTTATTATTTTTATTATATATATGTTTAGTAGTTTTTGTTTCGATTTTTCTTTTTTGTTAGTCCGTTGTAAGTATAACACTATAGGTGGTTTACTTGATTTGTGTACTTTTTTTCATTTAAATTTTCTTGCTTTTTCTCAATACGTTGAGCAGTTTTGTCATCTATTTTTTTGCATTTACAATGATTTCAAGTGTTTTAATTTTAAATTATTGGCGATTTTCTTTTCTCAATTTGAATTTATGATGGCAGTTTATTCGATACAACTTTTGTTTTAGTTTTCTATTCTTTTTTTTTTTTTTTTTTTTTTGAAACGATTATGAAATAAATACTTTTTCGATAGTATTCAAATAGATTTTTAAGAAAAGTTTTTTTTTGGTTTAGAGTTTTCGAAGAACATTTGTATTTGTATTTTTTAAAAGCCACATTAATTACATTGACCATTAATATAAGTTTTTCTTTTGTTTTGTTGTTGTTGTTTTCGAATTCAAAAATTGTTAGTTGTCTAAATAGGGCAGTTTTTTGTTTTGTTTTTTTTTTATATAATTTAATTTATTTTTTCTTTGAATACTTTGGTTATTTTTTTAGTTTGAACATTAATTTTTCCAATAATGTGGGGATATTTTATTTCGATTAAATATATTTTTTATTTTTAATACTAATAATTTATTACAATATTTTCTTTTTTTAACTAATAATTATTTTTCAAAAATAAATTTTAATCCATATACTTATACTCATTCATTCGAATTATAATCCAAGAGACAGCTTGCAATATTTGGCAAATACACCTAGGCTATTTTTATAATACCCAACAGTGGAGTGAATTTATATTTTTTTTTATTTCTTTTGTTTGTAGAAAAATTCCAAATAAATTTAATTAAAAAAAATTATTTTGAACCTAAAAAAATCTGATATATTTTGTTTTGAATAAATAAATCCCAACACATTTAATTTTTATTGGGAATTCCAATTAAATTTGTCCTAACAGATCGCATTAAAACATTTTCAATAAAATCCAGGGTGCGCAAAAATTCGCTCACGAATGATTCAAAATACATTCTTTTCGTTTTGTGCTCATTTTAAGAATGAATTTATGGCAGTGGTGGGCATAACAAAATTGAGCATAAATGTGGGTGAGCGTAACTGAGAAATCATCATTAAAAACGACTGACCAAAAGAGAAAAAA